TGATGTTTTGGAGGTCCTTGTTTGCTCTGTTGCAATTTCATATTATTTGTGAAAAATTGAACTCGAATGCTGTTTGTTATCTCCACATATTTAACTCAAAAACTGTATGAATGTTTTAAAATTAAGCTTCGAATTATCCACAGATGACTCATTTGTACATACGAGGGTTGTCCCATAAAATCGTAGACAAAGCGTTTTTCTCGAAAAGTAATGACTGCACTAAGCTGAAATTTTCAGTAAATGTTTATTTATCATATTTAAGCGAATCATAATGTTTTTGATAATATATATTCAAAAATAAAGATTTTATTCTGATTGAATGTGCACAATGTACGGTCTTACGGCGCACGGTAAAAATAGCAAGGTTATTTTAGAGAAGACATAAGAATTAATTCATAATAAAAGTTTCCAATACATAAGATTAGGATGAAAATTATCCTTATTCCATTCCTTAATCAATTCTGTCGTCTTTTTAAAAAAATCAAGACATTTAGTTAATTTTTGGCAGTTTCCCGAGAATTTGAAATGGGAAAGAAATAAACACAATACACGAAAAATGGCGCTTTTTATGACGTTACGGCGCACCGGAGAGCAGTTCAGATAGATTAAGATGTTGTAATGACGCCTTAAGAGACTTTAAATGAATACAGAAGAAAGAAAATATGAAAAATATCACCAGATCTTTAGTATATAAATGAAATGAAAGTTTTCTTAGTGAAGTCTTCGTGGTCGAGTCCCCAGATAGTACAAAACATATGGACAGACTGCCATTTTTAATAGCAAAGGACGCTGTCACCGTCGACCGTCGATGTGAGATTCTCTTTTAGTTGAATGATGGTGAGAATACTGTCTGTAACATGCTAATAAATATTCAGAAGATCGCATGAGTGTGACACATTGGTTTCTTAACTGGTTATAGATACTCACATATGTAAATCAATAAAATTTCTAAATTTAAGTGGGGCGTGTCCAACTTTAAGTTTAGCAAAGATGAAACGTGACGCTGTTTTAGACACTTTGACGTTATCATCCGTGCGCCGTAGGGCGATACAGTATATAACATAAAATATCACAATTTGTTTACCTATGCATATATCTATTTGAAATTTGCTATGTATATTCATAATTTATCTACTAAAAAGTGGTGAAAATTTCAGAACGCCTTGATGATTATTTTTCAAATTAGACAATTTGTCCACGATTTTACGGGACAACCCTCGTACATGTACCAATACAAAGTTTTTATATGCCTTGCAATTATAGCAAGTAGGAAATGTAACATATTTCTTGTAACAATGTTAATTTATTTGTTTCAAACCCTTTTCGAAAAATTTTCACATTAACTCAAATATATACAGATGCCACCATTTGCTATTGAAAGACTACGAATTGAAGCCTCATGGGCACTTAGAGCCATTGGGCAGTAAGGTTTTTTTTTTATGCAAGAACCTACTGCGACAAGGGAACTCCTTTCATACAGTATTATTTTCAAAAGCATTCTTTGAGTACCATACATTTTAAAACCCGTGCAAGCTACTTACAAAAACATGTAAGTTAATGTTACAGAGCTTTCAATAGCCTCGATTAAAATCAATGCTTCTTTAACGTCATTGTCATTATAATGACCGTATAAGTAAATGTATGCTATTGTACTGGGTTGTTTTGGGTGGGTTTTGTAAAGATACAAATTGGTATACCTGTAGGTTTTTTTTTAAATTTATGGGAGGATCCGTCTACTTGATCAATATATTGTTCTCACGACGGATATTATTGTTCAAAAGGGGATGCTTACTCTTAGGTACCTGATCTCGGATCGAGAGAGACTTCTGGTTTTTAGACGGTGGCTATATATAGCCACAGGCTATTGCTGCTGGTCTGTGTAAACACACGGGGACCCTAGCGGCGATTTTTGCAGAGTGAAAATAATGAAAGTAGACTTATTTCGATGTTTGAAAATAAAATTTACATAGTTAACAAATACTTCCAAGTTATTTCAGAGACATTTCGTTGATGGATACAAAGACTAATTCCTGATATTTGCCGTTATCAATATTTCTTGCTCACGAATATTCATTGAGTTACGCCGAACTAAACTAACTCGTACACCAACCGACTCGTATATTCGTAATCAAACTAAAGATGTCAATTCGTACATTTTTTTTTTCGTTTTTTCTCACATGTTCGAAAAATCAGTTTCGTTCGCACATTGTGTTTATTTAAAATTACCAATTAATTGTTGAAAAATATTTGAAGATTTAATTGTATGATTGTTTCACTATCTAACTCCTAAATCAAATACTAGTAATTATTACTAGTAATTGCTAAACAACATACGGCTGTTTCTTAAATACTGCTTTGTGATTTTTTTTTTTACAATAAAACTTAAATAGTTTATTGTAATTTAACAGTCTCTTTGTTTGAATTTCTTATATCTGTTTACAATGCTATATTAGTAAAGCGAATATATGTATTTTTGGAAAGAAGAAAAAAAAGATCATTACATCTTAATCAGTTAATAAAACGGTTGTTGGAATGCCATAAAATTTATTACCATTCTAGTTTTTAAAAATAAAACTTTGTCTGATTATCCCGGACACAAAAACGACTCAACGGATAAAAAATTGTCAAAGCTATAATTACAAAGACTATAACGGACAATTTACCCATATATTTCATTCCTATTTAGAAACTCTAACGTGCCTCTAATAAATATACCCTTTAAAGGGTGTACGAAAAAGTACATTCAAAATACATGTGCATGAAATAAAACTAGTATTAGGATTTTATGCGATTTTAGTGGGCTGAATTTAGGTCAGTCTTCTGAAAGTGGCCAATCTTGCTCTTTTCTGCCTCCTGTTACTAAAGTGTCCTTTTTATATAACTTTGTTTTCAAGTTTTTGCAGTTTGCAACCACCTAAAGACTTGAAAAAGAAAAGAAATACTTTAAATGGAATATTTTTTTTTATTTCTGTTACAACACAGCAACTTAAAAGCTAAATAACAAATGATATCTTATTACATGTACAATGTAGATCTAATGGACATTATACTGGGTCTCCAATCTGGGATTGTGTTCATAATTATTATATAAACATTTAATTTTTCACTTTTAATTTGTTTTGAAAAATAGTTCTAACGAAATTTTACATGCACATTCATATAATTACTTCTAGTAAGTGTTTATATAAGATTTCCCTATATTTGAAATTTAAATAAATATGTCTTAAAAGAGAACTAAATCCGAAATTAAAAATTAGGACTTTTTCGTATCAATCTTAAATATTTGAAAGAGAGAAAGAGTCTGATATATGAATCAGAAAGAGAAAGACTTGTGTAAATTATGGGTAAAGCAAAGATATGACAACTTAACTGCAATGTAAAGCAAGAAAAGACTGCATATTATAAGTGCCGGTAAAACAAAGGTTGTATCTACTGTTTCGTTGTTTTCGTGCATGTCAAGGTGACGCCACTTTTACTTTGAGCACGCAAAGGTGAAAAATATGTTTTATTTTTCTATTTAAGAGATTGTTTCAAAATTCTTGGTCTATCGACCCTCACCTTTTCTGCACAGGCGATATTCTTGTGTTTAGTCAAATACAAATAATAAGTACTTAATTTTTGCCTCCCAAAAAAGTAGATTTTTAAAGTTTCAGAAACATGTAATTTCTTGAAATATACTACTTTCAGGAATTGGACAAACTCGCAAGGGTCATGCAAAAATTCTGATTTTGTTAATTTTCCCGTTTGAGTGTCTCGGTGTTGCTTTGATATTATCTTTTTTCTTGACTATCGAATTTTGATTCACTTATTTTTAAATTGACATAGCACAAGTGCACGATCATGCATCATATGTTAAGCATAAAAAAGATTGATTGATTGATTGTATATTGTTTCACGTCCCTCTCGAGAAATCGGTGTTAAGCATTAACCTCACCTATTAGAAAAAATCAAATACACATTCATTGTACAATTATAAATTGCTGTATTTTTTATTATTCGATTTTTTTCTCTCGATTCCACATAAACCGGTATTCATTTGTTTTTTTTCTTTTTTCTCTCTTAACTATTACTTTTTTTTTTCTTCTAAATTCCATTCAATTTTGTGTTAGTTATATATACCTTATTGTTGATATATAAACCTGTATCTATATGTAGAATAATGTGTATTAATTAACCTTGTACCTGTGGAGAGGGCTTATATAGGCTATGCCTGCTGCCCAATCCATTTATGTAATTCTTACTTTATAAACTATGTTCAAATAAAAAAAAATACCTTATTGACAAACTTCTGAAAGTTGATTGATTACTGACCAGAGTTAACTTAAAGAAGCATAGTAACACAAAATGGGTAGAACTATAAATAGACCTTAAGTCTGTACTTTTGACTAAGGAAACCCTTCACATCTACAATCCCTGAACTACCGGGATAGGGCCTATATACTTAAACATTATTAGCTGCATTACTTCTAAAATCACGTGTTAATATTAACAATAAAATATATTCTTTTTGGTAGGATTGTGCCTTGTCTAAACCAGGAACTGTAGAGGTTTGAAGAGCTATATTTACATTTCATTGTATTTGACTAAAAACGGAAGATATCTAAAATATATTTTCTAGTTCTTCTTTCTGCAGTTTGATTGCACGGCGGTTTGTCAAGTATCATGCTTAACACATAGTTACCCGTTGCTATATTAATGTTGTTAATTTTCAACTAATCGATATCAGCATCCAGGAATACGGCCAACGAATGCAAATGATTGAAAAGAATGAAAGAAAAGCTCACATTATCTAAAAGCATAATACTGTGTACACATGTAACACAAGCTTCTTATGTATTGACGCGTGTGATAATTTGTTATTTTTGAACAAAATGACATTCCTTATCATGAAAATGTTCGTAAAAGCCTTATATTAAACTAAATAATCACAAAACCCATAAATGAAGAGTTTTACTAACATATACATAGTCATGTCTAATTGTGCTATGATCACTTTCTTTTTACAATTCCTTTTGTAAATTGTCTAATTTTATATCGTTCGAGTTTTCTTTCTGAGACTCCACCCTTTGTTGTGTCTTTTCATGTGTTTGTGCAACCACATTCTTCCTATTTGCAACAGAAATCAAAACATACAAAAGCAGAGGAAGAAAAAATGCTGCGTGAAGCAGACCAAAAATCACGACAAGAAACATTACTTTTCCAAAAGAGGTAAATACGTAACTACTTGAAAAGGCAAGCATGAAAATTCCTAGCAAAGATGATAAAGCAGCATTAAAAACTGGCCCGCCCGATAAATCAAGGGCCCGTTGAATTAAATTGTTTTCATGCCTAACTGTCAAAAAAGCATGACACACATGAACAGTAAAATCTACAGAAAATCCAACACTCATAACAAGATGGATCATCGTGATTGAGCTTAAAGTAAGATCCCAATAGTACATGAAACCAAATATCCCAACGATAATACTTACTAAAGTAAGTGCAACAATGAAAATTATCAATGGTTTGGGCATAAAAATAAATGTAACAACCAACATAACTGCGACCGCGATACCAACTGTTTGTAAAGTACTAGGCAATATTTGAACAAATTGTTCAAAAAATATAAAAGCTGGAGTGTAAAAGAAGCATGAAAATCTCGCCTTTTCACTGATTTCACGCAATCGTTTCATTAGTGAACCCTGGTCTTGTGTGGTTTTTATGTTGTTGGCTTTCACATAGAATTTCGATGAAATAATTTTTGTTCTGGAATTATCAAATATAATATCATTTTTGAAGCGGGCGGCATTATTCAGAAAATTATATAAACCATTTACGAAACCAGTTTCAGTTGTTATATTGTAAAATGGTGACAGTTTATATGCTTTCAACCAATTGATTTCAAAGTTATCATCTATCTTAGGGTCTTGTTTTGCTTTATCCAGGATATCCGCTATGAGAGACTGTGTTGAGGTTATTGAATATTTTTGTTCAGTTTTAATGCATAATGCGATAACCGGTTCCACTGTGTAAAACTTATCATCCCAAGAGCTGTACGTATAGAAGTAAGAATTGTCCGCAACCAAATTGTACAATAGTAAACCTTGTTTCATATGAATCGCTCCATAGATAGCTGATACAATATATGCTACAAACACAATACAAATCATCATTTTCCCTACAATGTGCGATAATATTATGATAGCAATTTTCTTTGGATATTTTTCCAAAAAACTTTCAACGTCTTTTCTGCTCTCTGGAATTGAACCAGACATACACACACGTTTTTGTTTTCTGTCTATTTCTGCTGGATTCTCTTGAGTTACTTTCAGACAACATATACAGTAATGCCTCAGTTCACTTGTTCGTTGTTCATTCAGACAAATTGACGGAGATAGGAAAAAAAGTTGATTGAAGTAACAAAGGAGGACTGCCATTCCTGAAAATAATTTTTTAAAAAAACTTTTTCTGTTTAAATCAATCTTTACCTTTACCATGCAAAAATATGCACTTTGTATAGTCGGAAAAAAAACAGAGAATTTTAAAAACAAATTCACAATCTATTTAAGAACAATGAATATAAAAGAAGAGGCTTATTGTACCTGTATATATACAAAAATTCCTGATACTGATGAATACAGACGTTGCTCCAATAGAAAATGCCAAAAGATTAGTTAGGGAGGTAATTGTAATAGCTATTCCACTCTTTTTTAACATATAACCCATTCTATTTTCAACTGTATTTGTCAGGAGAGATGGTGCTTCGGCCATTCCAGACATCAAAATAAACATATCGTCAATACCAATACCTAAAGAAAATTATTTATTTATTTAACATCGCTTTGCTGTCATTATAATTGTGCTGTTTATCTTAAAATGCAATAAGCATAAATAATTCGCATTAATAAACCTTGGCTACAAAAGAGAGAGAGAGAGAGAGAGAGAGATCTGAGATAGAGATACTCACCGATTATTAAGAATGGCATGACTCCTACAATATTAGTGAATTTTACTCCGATTCCGCTGACAAATCCAAGAGCAGATCCGATCCCTAGGACTGGTGTCATCACTCCTGCTATACCCAAATTCATTCTGTTTGCAACATTGTTACATTTTATCCAAGAAGATGCAGAGGCCAAACAAGCATAAGTCATCATGAGCGTAAAAGTTAGAGAGAAAAATTTAATGTCACTATTCGTATTTTTATCAAGCTCTGTACCAAGAGAATCTGAAGTTGCAAATGCAATGTCTGTGATGTTTGTTTTTAATTTTGCAATCTGTTCTAAATACGTTTTTTCCCATCCTATGGACAATGATGTATTTTGTCGAAGAAAATATCGCAACTTCACGCCGATGGTAGAAATAAGAACGTTATTTTTGCTCTCCGGATTTGCAAAAATAGGTGAAATTATCTCTGACATAAACGTTGGATAAGTAACATTTTTTGATATAAACTGTTGTTGAAAATTAGTCTTCAAAACAATTTTGCCAAGTATTCCACAAGCGGAAGTGCCTATGGCGCATATGTCAGGGTATCTTATGCTTGACAAACTTGGATCTTGAAAAATAATAGAATTCTGGATGAATCTGTCGATATTGTTTATTTCATCAACATAATATTGATTCATAATGTTTGATCTGTTTTTTGAAATAATCATTATGTCTGCGTATCTCCCAAGTGACGATAGCTGATAAGATTCGAAATTCCCTGTTGTTGGGTCAGAAAAAACTTTTTTCAAAAATTCACGATCTTTGTATGCCTGGCTATTTTCTGGTGTGTACAAGATCTCAACATCATTTTCAACCGAAAAATTAATGAAACCAATCAAAAACAATAAATTAACTGCAATACAAATGGCCAAAATTTTTCTCGGATGATTTGAAATAAAAACGCCAAGCTTTTCAAAACGACCTTCCGAAAATTCTTCATATTTTTCATAGCAATTCTTGCATTTTCCCATGTTGAATTCTTCACTATCTGAAATATTATATCATGTATTTAGTTTTTCTACAGCAAAGAATGAAAATTTAAACTCCTTGGAAGTAATATTGAAAAATCTTTATGTACCCGGTATTAATATGCATACTTACAGTGTAATTGAATGAAAATTTTATACGTCCTTTCGCCAAATGTTCGGGAGAATGACACGTATGTGTATTAATAAACTTCCTCATTGTTTGGTCGCTATAACAACAGGTTGTCAAAACACTTTTATCTTATTGACTTGCTACTCCTAATTTACAATCAATGATCTCTATTTAATCTCCTAAATCCAGTTTATTGCTTTTTTTGACACTTCTCAGAAAAAAGAACAGACACTGAAAAAGGATAGTTTTTCTAGTTATCACAGGCATATTGATCATCACTCAGAAGTTCCAAATAGAACCCAAATAGTTTTTTGATAGCTATATTGCGGATAATGTTAGTTTGCATTTTACATGAGGATCTTAAAAAAATACAAATAAAAGATTTTTTTTTTATAAACCTCCGAAAAGTTCAGATGTGAGATCGGATTAGAAGGCTTAGAAATCCCCTGTATATACAATTTTAGTTGATATTATGCATTTGTCATTGATTTATTGATACACGATACAAGCGTATTTGTACAGTGTATTACATTATTATCCATCTATATTTGTTTCATGGTTTTCTTTTTAGATCTTTTGAAAATCCAGTAAAAATGCAATTTGTAGTCACTGTTCTACATAGGGCGAAATTAAAGGTACACATTTGTATTTTTTAAGGTAGGATTTTAAAAACGAAAGAAAGTGATAAACAGCAATTTGAATTAGGAACCATAATATTGAAGTCTATGATGAACTTCTTAACAATCATTTTTATTACATCAACAGATGCTTTGGCATAAAATAAATGCACCACTAATAGTAATTCCCTCTAATTACATCTACTTAAAAATCTTGTTGCGTTCTCTTCAGAATTGTAGCGTCAGGGTTTTATGTTTTTTAGTCTTAAATCATGACGCTCGGATCCGGTTATTTTGATTATGATTGTATATTGTTTAACGTCCGTCTCGAGAATTTTTCACTCATATTGATCCGGTAATGCAAATTTATTTGGTAATTTTCGAAGCAAGATTTTCTGCGTACTGCCCTTGAGAATTTCTCCATTTTCCAGCACTGGTCAAGCATCTATCTTTTACTCCATATATTCTAGACACATTTTCAATTAACCTGTTCATCTTATCCACCTCCTAAAATTTTGTTGTCGTCTCAACTCGCTAGGATTTTTCTGCAATCAAAACAAGTGAGTTATTGTTCTGTAGAAACAAGTATAATTAGTTGAGAGGTGGGTGAAATATATGGTTTAACAAACAGTATTTAAGCTCAATGTCCATAAAACAATAAAAAATATGAACAGAGCAAAAAAAAAAAGACCTCCAAAACATCAGAGTTAAGATCAGGTGTCATGCAGGAGTAAGCATCCCCTGCCGACTAGTCACACAGCCATGTGTTCCTTGTCATAATCGGGAAATAACAGAAAAATCTGTCGTCAAATAATTGTGTAAATAATGGCCTAGCAATAAATATAAAAAACTTCAGTCAGTATTTGCCTTAATTATGTTCCCATAACGAAGTTAGGGAACCTATTGTTTTTTTACTATTGTTTTTAAGCTGTATCTTATTATTTTTTTTTCTTCCTGTGAAAATTTTGTCCGCGGGTGATCTTATAAAGTACACATTTGATTAAGGTGAAACGTTGAAACGTTCTTAGGGTCAGTAGGCATGTTATGTAGATTTGCGGAACGAAGGTCATTTTGCGCGCACGTGGTTGCAAAAGGGCAACACGAGAAATGACCAATATAGTTGATATATACGTAACTTTTTAAATTTTTGATGAAATGCTTTGAAACTCATAATATAAGGATATATTAGTAGCATAGACAAGATGCAATGTCAAAAGAGCAATATCTCACGTGCATGCACGCGCGCTTCGCTCTGATTGGCCGAAACTTAAGTCTTAATATCTTTCTTGTTTTTTGGCAGAATCCTTTGAAAATTTGAACATAGACATACATAATGAAGATCTACAGCATGATATATAAGAATGATCATGAAAATATGCGCATGCACATGTACTGCAATCTGATTGGCTGAAACTTTACATGCCTATATCTTTCTTTGTTCTCAACAAATCGGGATGAAATTTAGAATATGAATAGGTATAATGGATTCCTATATTATGCTAATATCAAAATTGAATGCAAGGACATGCATTCATGCATGTGCGCGTGCGCAATGCGTAAAATGACCAATTTATTTGAAAAACGGTAAGATTTTAATGTTTTTTAATGATTTTTTAAATTGATTCCAAGGACATTAGGATATGTTAATGGTTTAGACAGCATGCCATGATCATCTTGCATGTGCGCGTGCAAGGAGTAATATGACAAATAATTGATATCGTACGTTTTATAATTCTTTTATGAAATCCTTCGATACTGAGCATAGTACAGAAAAGTCTTAACGGAACATGGCACAAAAAAGGTAGTTGGGGAGTGTTTTGGGAACATCTGTAACGGTCCCAGTTACAATTAAAACTAGTTATAAATTGTATTTGCTGACAAGGTTATTGTATCGAACATAGAACGTACGAAATGATGACTTTAAACTTCTGATGTTCTTGTTTCATCAACTTGTTTGTCATTATTTTACCCCGCTTTAGAAATTGTACATACACATGCTCCTGTATATCTTATCAACTGAAAGATACAAACTCTGTATACAGGTGATGAAGGTTTGTTTAAGAATGTGTCTAGAATTAAGGAGTGAGAGGTAATTGGTTAAAGCTTAAAAGTTGGTAAACTCTTCAAAAGCCTGCAGGATATCTTTTGCAGTTAATTGCACCGTGTTTGATTTAGGTGATCTGTAGCGTTCAGGTAAAAGGCTGATATTTAAAAATACAAAACTACAGTTCTGTAGCTTTTCTTGAGAGCTATTTGTTAGTGTTCTAATTACACAAAACGCATTTTCTTTCTTTAACTTTTGAAAGCCTGTTCTTTTTTCCATATATTTTCTTATCTTAATTAATGTCCCAATAATTTTTTTAAAAATATTTTCCTTTAGATCCTTTGCAGATGAGAAAAATTTCTCATGAACTGCAATATCTCCATTGTTTCAGCGTTAGTAAAGATATTGTTCCTACATATTGTAATTATAACGTCAAAACTATAGTACAAGCGGTTTTTCATTGAATTATGTAAAATGATGTTCTATATGACCAACTCAGAAGAATTTATATAAGAATGAAAATGTATTTTTGATAATTCATTAGATACATGAACTACGACGCTTCACGTCGACATATTAACCATGAAGCGCTATCTGTAAGTGAACTGAAAATCAAATTAATACACACAAAAATATAACATTTATTTATTTGACAATATGTTATCGTTTTCAAACATATCTTTGTAAATAAATATCCATTTTTGAATCAACTAAAAAATGAAATTTAAAAAATCATTTTTTTAATTGGAGAATTTTAGAATAGCCCTTGATAGGGTTATTTATCCTTTTGATAATAAGTTTCTGAATAATTTGAATAAGTACATGTACATTTTGTATTTTCGAGGAATAGGAGACACTATTTATTTTTGAATAAGTTTCAAGCTTTAAAGAAATGACGTTTTTAACTGCAATGCCAACGTGGAAGTTAATAATACATCATGAAATAATGGAAAATACCTTCAGAATTTAAATAGACGTAATCAAGAAAATGGTGCATGAGAAAATGGATGTGTCGTGTTCTCAGTGTATGACTACGTGTGGTACTGTCCCGCGTTATAAATTTTGAATTGTCGGGGGAGAAATCTGTCATTCAGCACTTTACTGTGGATTTCCATTGTTTAACTTTGTCTGAGGTGTTCAATAATAAATCTTGCTTCGAACAGTGAAACTGATATAAAAGTTTTCTTTGGTTCATATCGTGATATAACTAGATTCCAAAAGATAAAGACAAAGATGAAAAGGATTTTTTTTAACTGCTGACATCGTATATAATAAATCAATCCATTTTAGTACATCAACATATTTGCTCCAAAACCGGACAAGACATATGATTGGTTGCCTTTTAAAGATCTAACAATATTCCTCGTTGAACGGGGGCGTCTTTTTTCAAGCTATGGCTAAATTTAAAACAAAAAACAAACGCATATTTATCAGTAAACACAAAAATACTTAATTTTCAATGAAAGTAGATTTCTATGTCTAAGCATATATCTTTACATTGTGTCTACATACCTGCCAAATATGTCGTTCAAATCTCAATTAACAAATTATGAAAAAAATGATGCTAAACTTTTGATGAGTGCAACACAATTTTGTGACATTTTGAAAGTTCAGAATCTAAGTTAATTGATTATAGTATTCAATATTCATGTTCAATATTTTAGGAGATCTTCGAAACATGTAATTAAGTTTATGCTGAAGGTGAAGACTTTCCATTTAATATTCAAAGTTTTGAGCTCCAAAAGTGGACTGCAGTAAATTTTGTTTGATTAAGTTTTTGTCATGACTGATGTAAAGAATAATGTTTTACTATGTCAAGAGTGCAACACAAAAATGTTAAGTTGCCAAAAAACATCAAATGTAAAAATAAAGAAAATTAAGACAAAAAGGAATTATTGAAGTGTAAGACATTAACTGATATACAATTTAAAACTTAAAAATGTTATAAAAATCAGAAGCAGCGTAACTGAGAATCAAATATATGTGCATACCCAATAATGTCAGGAGTACAACATTTGTTGTTTTGTTTCCAAACATAAACAATTACTGAATACAGTGATTTTTACTTTAGAACATAAAGCAGAAAAAATCTTTTTTTTATCGAATAGATTTTTGAATTACAGAATCTGTCTGTACTTCAAATTCAGATCTATATTTCTATGGTCAGGAGTGCAACATTTTTTTAAGTATCTAGTTGTGTGACGAAAACACTTCTACTCATGT